ACACATTACGATTATTGTTCTTGGAAGCGGCGGTGAAAGGAGGCAGGGTGAAGTAGAGGGGGGAGAGAGAGAGAGAAGAGAGAGAGGGAGAGAGAGAGAGAGATGGAGAGAGAGAGAGAGAGAGAGAGAGAACGAGAATGAGTGAGTGAGAGTGGGAGAGAAAAGAAGAAAACGGAGAGGAAGATTTTTTTTTTTTTTTTTTTTACTGGGAGAAGACAGAGGGAAAAGAAGAATCGAAAGAGGGAATGAAAGTAAGTTTAAAAAAAATGTTTGGAAGAAGAAAACGAAAGTGAGAAAAGGAAAGAGACAGTGGTGCTGATGGGCTTTCAGAAGAATGAGAACGAGACAAAAAAAAAAAAAAAAGAGGAAAAATGGAGAACCGAAAGAACTGGGAGAAGAGAGATCTATGACCTCGAATGAAGGAACGAAGTGAATATGGAAGAAGAAAAATATTATAAAGAGAAACAACATGAGAAGTCCCCGTCTATAGACCCTAAAATATATCTGCTTTACTGCCTTTACATGCATTTATTCCTCTCCTTTGCACGATTGTTTTTTTCCTATTATCTATTTCCTATATTCATCTCTATATTTATTTATTCATGTGTTTATGCATCTGTTTATTTGTTTATTCATGTGTTTACCTATCAATTTACCTATTCATTTATTTCATTATTCATTTATTCGATTACCTGTTCATGAATTCGGTAGTTTATGTAACTATTTATTTGAATATTTATCTATCAGTGTATAAAGTTATTTATGTATCGGTTTATAACACCATTTATCTATCAGCTTATAATATTATCTATTTATCAGTTTAAAAGATTGTTTATCTTTCAGTTTATGAATTAATCTATCAACTTAATCTACTATAAATTTGTTTATTTATTTTCGATTGCTTACTCATCTAATCATTTATTGTTATTGGTCCATCTATACACACGGAGTGACCTCGTTCGATGTCCTTTTCAACTTTTCAACCAATACGTGTTCAACTCCTCAATCCAATCCTTGTTCAACTCTCCATTCCCATCCACGTTCAACTCGTTATTCCAACTCATTCTCGTTTCATTCCAATCCGTGTTCAACTCCTCATTCCCATTCGTGTTCAACTCATTCCAATCCGTGATCAACTCCTTCCAATCCGTTTCCTCTTTCCAATCCTTACTCCTCCTTCCAATCCGTATTTCTTTGACTCTCTGCTCTCTCCTCCGTGCCTCCCGAGATCTCACTTGTTGCCTGTATCTCTTGTTCTTCTTTCGTCTTTTTATTATTTTCATTTACCTGTTGATTCTCCGACTTACCTGTTATAAAGATTTTTTTATTGTTGATTTCTTTTCTTGTAATAGTTGTTATCATTATTATTATTATTATCATCATTATCATTATTTCTATTGCTATCACTGTTATTATCATTACCATCATCATTATTATCATTATTATTTTATTATCATTATTATTATTATCATTATCATCATCTTCATTATTATCATTATTATAATTATTATAATTATTATTATTTATCCATAATCATACTAATAATAATTATTTTATTATATCATTACCATTATTATTACTGTAATTGTAATTACCGTTGCTATTATCAGTATTGTGTTTTTTTTTTAATACCAGTACTATGATTACTATTATGATTATTGTCATTATTATCATTATTTGTTATGATAATTGCTTTTAATTAGATTTATCATTTCTACTATTAACGGCTATCATTATCATTATCATCAGCATTGTTATTATTATCATATTGTTAGAAGAGATGACGGAGTAGGAGAAAAACAAAGAGAGAGAGGATTTACAGGAAAGAGAAAAAGAGGTGAAGGAAAGAGAGAGAGAAAAAAAAGCAAGAAGAGGAGGCAAGAGATAAATAAAAGGGAGTGAAGAGAAGAGAAGGAGAGCAGGAAGAAAAAGAAGACGATCTCGCTTCAACGGAGGAGATTTGGACTTGGCATCTGGTCGTCTCATGTTTCGTCGACGTCGCTTGATCCTTCCCTGTGACACTTGTATCCGTCTTTCACCTTCATTAGAAGAAACTTTTACCATCATTTTTTAAATTATTTTTATCATTACAATCACTGTAAATATTTTCATTGCCACATTGAACTCATTACATTGTTCCTATTTTCATTGTGTCGGCGTTTTTGTTTACTTCATCCGATTATTATTTTCCTCTTGTGTTAATGTTGCGTCTTCTTTTTACCATATTTCATTCTCTATTCATAATCATTTTACGACTAGACGTCCAGTTGAGAATAATGGTTCTTATCGGGAATTGACTAATGATCATTTCTCCCGCAGATGATTAATAATGGCGAAAAAAAAAAACGCTTTGTAAAAGCAGGACTCACATATGAAATATATGAAATACAGTTTCCAATTCAGATTTTTATCAAGATCATCTAAATGATCGTTTTAATTTTTTCCCTATCCTTGTCTTCTTTTTTTATTTACTCTCTCTCTCTCTCTCCTTCTCTTTCTCCATCTTCTCTAAATATTCATCTTCATTTTCCTCTTCGCTTCCCCTCTCTTCCACCTCCTTATCCTCCTCTCCCTCCTCATCATCGCGTCCCTCCTCTTCTGTCAAAATCCTCGAAATAAATTTCCTTAACCAGCATGGGGAAACAAGCTCGATAAACTATCAAGGAATAGCAATCTAATAGCAGTGAATGAGTCTAACTGCTTATTCAGAACTATTGTGTAGTGCAGCGGTTAGCGTGTTGGTCTAGCAATCTTGCTGATCTGCGTTCAATGCCGCAATCTTCCAGTGGATGGTAACCCCGGCTATTCCTTGCCCACAGGGGGAGATTTAGAAGCACAATTAAACAGACAGTACGTCACTGCAAAGAATATCCATTGTAACAAATGGAATTTAAAACTAAATCGTCACTGCAAAGAATATCCATTGTAACAAATGGAATTAAAACTAAATCTTAAATCTTAAAAAAATAATAATAAAACCGAGTGAACAAATACAAATGACATTTAAATATCCCTCTCTGATGAGTACACTGTATACATAGAAAATTATTTTACTGATTTAGATTAGTATTTCAGTTGTGCTGTGAGGTAAAAAATAACTAAGTACTGAAAAGGCTTAGTCTGTCCCTTTAAGCTGTATCTTTTTTTTTTATCTTTTCTTTTTCTTTTTATCTTTTCTTTACTTTTTCTTTTTACCTTTTCATATTCTTATCTTTTTATCTTTTTATCTGCTTATCTATTTATTTATTTATCTGTTTTATTCCGAATCAAATGCCGAGTAACTCCAAGCGACATGCGCCACCAGCAATGCCTTTATTCATCACGATCTTTTACGGAACGATAATACAATTCACATCCAGAAGCAAAATTGAAACGAAAAATCACGCCATGACTAAACTAAATACAGCGGGCACCTAATTATAACACCGCGAGTCGTTTACATTAGATTTGAAATACAACGTGTAAGCATTACGTTAATGGATATTGCACTAAGATTATTAATTTTCGTTTCTTGTGATGAAAATAGCAGTAATGATGAGGCAAGATAATCTCAAACTATAATAAAACGAATGACAATCAGATTGATACTGATGAGGAAAATATATGATGAGAATTGTAGTGATGATAACTGTAACAATGATAATGATGATAATGGAAATGGCAATGATGATTATGATGATAGTAAAAATGAAATGATAATAGTGATAACAATGATGATGATAAAGACGATGATGGTGATAATGATGATAATGATAATAATAATAATAACAATAATAGTAATAATAATGATGATGATAATAATGATTACCATTATTATAATAATTATAATACCAGAAATGATAATGATAGCAATAACGATAATAAAGGAAATAATAATAACGGAAATAATAATGGCAGTTATAATAATTGTTATCATTTTTTTACCATCATCATTATAAACATTATCATTAGTACTATCATCATTTTCAATATTATCAATATCATTAATATGATATTACTATTATCATCACTGGTATTATCACTACTATCATTATTAATAATTTTATTATTGCTATTATTATCATTATCATTATTATTATCATTATTATTATTATTATTACCATTATTATTATTGTTATCATTATAGTTATCATCACCAATATTATCATGGTTATTACCTTTATTATTATCAGTATTGAATTCACTAATACTACTACATCTACTACTACTACTACTACTACTTCTACTACTACTATTATTATCATTATGAGTACCACTGATGGTGATAACAGGAACTACATTAGTGTAAGAACTCTGTGAGCAGGATCATCGTGAGGGAAAGATCGTGAATATGTCTGGAAAGAGAAAAAGGAAAGAGAGATACAAGATAACAAGAGATGAGCGGGGGGGGGGGGGGATGAGATGCAAACTTGTTAACGTGACGGCTACTAGGAAACGTCAATAGCTCCTATTAGGCTACCAAGAGGTCTTCGGAATGAATTTAGCCTTCAGACTAGCCATAGGAACTAGGGTTGTCGGGCAATTGTTTCTCTGGCGAAATAGAAGCTTTCTTTGTCTTTCTCTGCCTCTATCTATCTGTATAATGATTTCTTTCTTTTTCTCTGTTTATCTGGATAATGATCTCTTTCCCTGTCTGCCTGTCTCTTTCTTTCTCTTTCACTCCCATATAGGTATATACATCAATCGGATATATATACATACATACATATATATATATATATATATATTATATATATATATATATATATTATATATATATATATATATATTATATATATATATATATATATATATATATATTATATATATACACATATATATATGTTGTTGTTTTTCACGTCACAGCACTAAACACTGATCAATAACTCTGTGGGTAAACAAATAAAAAACATTCCATAAAGAACCTTTATCTGTCATATTCTTATTCATTTTCATTCCATTTATTCCACTGTTTTATTCTAACCCTTCTTACTAATTCCGCAACGTCTCTCCCCGAACAGCAAGCGTGCATGTTACCCGTCGAAGACATTGTCCTCCACCAATGGGAGAACAGGAAGCCCTCGCCTCTCCTCGCGCTCCCACGGCTCTCAGTCCTCTGCCCGAACCTGAGGCCCAACTACACCCTCACCATGAAAGGTTAGGAGTTCCGAGTGTCACCTCTGGTTAGGAGTTAGTGTTAGGTTAGGAGTTCCGAGTGTTACCTTTGGTTAGGAGTTCCGAGCGTTACCTTTGAATGAGGTACAACTTGAGTGCCATTAATCAATTGTTTTTTTCGAGTCACCAATGGACGAAGCGCAATCTGAATTATATCAATGATCGGAGTGCTACTTGAGTGTCACCAATTAATGAGATGGAACTTGAGTGTCATTGATGAATGGTGTTAGCCGAGTGAAACTAAAGAATGAGGTGCTACTCGAGTGTCACCAGGGAATGAGGTGCAACTTGAGTGTCATTCATAATTGAAGTGCTAGTCGAGTGTCACCAAAGAAGTAGGTGCTGCTCGGGTGTAATCAGTATGAGGTGCTGCTCGAATGTCACCAATGAATAGGGTGCTCCTTAAGTATCACCAGTGTCTCCTCTTTGAATAAAGTTTTACATTAGTGCCGAGTCTTCATATAGCCCTGCAGGAGTATGAAAGCTCGTTCCTACTCATAAATGAATAACGTCCTGTTGGGGTGTTACCAATAGATCAGGTATTCCTCAAGTTGCCAGTGAATGAGGTGTTGTTTGTATATCATTAACAGATGTGAACAGTTGCTTTCAGAGTCCTCTTTTTATTGAAATCCAATATTGGTTTCTTTCTCTACCAGTATAATAGAAATCTCTCTCGTCTGACAAATATATAAACATGGACTAGAATCGCCCTGCAGCATCTGTTTTTGTTCTCATTTTTTCACTCCAGCGCCATTTATTTAACTCCAAGGGACTTATTTTTTCTCTTCTTGTCACTGTGTCATCCCATTCTTTTTTCTTTCTACTTTTCTTTTCTTTCTCAACCTGCACCAAATCTCCCATTTTTATTGTCCATGCCTCTGTCCCTCCCATAATTTTCCCTCTCTCTTTTTCTTCCTTTCGTTTCTCAACCAGCCACCATTATCGCTTTCTCATTTCCAAACATTTACCCTTTCTTCTTGCTTTCTCAACCAACCATCACAGCGAAATATACTAGTTTCATTCTCTTTCTCCCATATAATTCCATTTCTTTTTCCTCTTCTTTCTCAGCCAACCGTCGCCGCTAAATGCATAATTTTCGCTTTCCTCTCTCATCCGCCAGACCCATAGATTTCACCTTTCTTCTGCGTTTTCTTTCTCATCCAAAGAGCTCCTCCAAATCCCATGTGTTATCCTGCCACTTCCTCCCAATCTAATCTTTTCATTAATTCCCATTTATATCCCTCTCCTTCCGTTTCCTTCTTCTCTCACCCAACCAACGCCGACAAATCCACCGAATTATCCAGCCACCTTCTCCCAATCTATCGCGAATCCTCCCGATCTAATCCTTTAATTGATTCCTATGTATATCCCTCTCCTTCTGCCATTTCCTTCCTCTCTCACCCAACCATCCCCGCCATATCCGAATCCTCCTTTCTTGACCTTCTCATCCAGCCCGAATCCTCCCTCCGTTGCAGACCTCGACAACGGTCCGCCAGAACTGGTCACGAAGCCGAATCAGCTGGTCATTACGCCGTCCAAACCCCTAGACCGCGAGAGGCGAGACAATTTCCTCACCTTCACCGTCACCTGCACGCTACAGGTGAGTTCCAGGTGTACCTCCTACGCCTAAATTTGCATTCTAAGGCTAATTCATGATAAGTGTGTTCAATACTCAAAGACTATTTATAATTTGTGTTTTAGATTTGACGCCTATATGTGTATCTAAGGTCTACATATATATTCTACATTGTATGTGTAAATCTGCATTCTACATCGAATCCATAGTCTACGCCTAAATCTACAATGTAACATAATCTGCATTCTGTGGTTTGTAAGATTCTCCGTTCAACGTTTAAATCTATCTTCATTCTGTCTAAATTTATGCAGTATATATTGTCCAATTCAGTAGGCCGTTCTACATCTAAATATACATTCTACGTTTAATTGTACATCTAAGTCCACGTCTAAATTCTGGTGTCAAAATTTGCATTTTGTATTCCAATCCTAGATTTAAATTCTACTGCTTTATCTGCATTCTACGTTTGTATCTATGTTCTGCACTCTGCTTCTAAATCTACGTTCTGCATCTAAATTTACATTCTACTTGTGATTGCAACTACACCTACGCTCTATGCCCTATTTTCTTGTCAGCGATGGGCAGTTTAAGTCAAGGCAAGATAGAGGGCTGAAGAGACCGGCGCGAGTGGGGTTTGTTTAGCGGTCAACGAGGCAGCCGGCTGACCCCACTAAGCCTCTTTCTTTAGGCCGAGGTTGTCAAACACGTCGGCCCGCGGACATTTGCAATTCCAGTCTTACAGTCGGCCGTTTTTACATGACTGATTAAGC